GTCCCTGTGTGAGGTAACAAAGGCTCATATCCAGTGTCAGCTGTAGCAGAGCCCTAGGCCTTCTGTGCTGGAAGGTGGGATGAACTCTGTGAGGTCCCCCTGGTTCTGGGGTGGGTGGTCCTCTCAGGGCTCACTTGTAGTGCTCACTTTTCCCCTGGCAAATCTAGAAAGGATGCCAAGAATACACAGGAGAACTGTACAAAAAAGATCTTAATGACCCAGATATCAATGGTGGTGGAGTCACTCACTTAGAGCCAGACAACATGTAGTGTCTGTGCAGAGGAACCAGAGATCAAATTGCTAACATTCATTCGGGCATAAAGAAAGTAAGGGATTTTCAGAGGGACATCTACCTCTGTTTTACTGACTATGCTAAAGCCTTTGACTGTGTGAAGTGAAAGTCACCAAGTTGTGTCTGACTCTTTACAACCCCATGGACTATAGAGTCCATGGAATTCTCCAGACTAGAATACTGGAGTGGGTAGCCTTTCCCTTCTCCACAGGATCCTCCCAACCCAGGAATCAAACTGGGGTTTCCTCCATTGCAGGTGGATTCTTTACCAGCTGAGCTACCAGAGAATCCCAAATATGTGGATCATAACAAACTGTGGAAAACTCTTAAGAAGATAGGAATATCAGACCATCTTATGTGTCTCCTGAGAAACCTGTATGCATGTCAAGAAACAACAATTAGAACCTTATAATGATCAACTGACTGATTAAAAATTGAGAAATGAGTCCCACAAGGTTGTGTATTTTCAGCCTGTTCATTTAACTTATATGCAGAGAACATCATACGAAATTCCAGGCTGGATGAGTTACAAGCTGGATTCAAGATTGCTGGGAGAAATACCAACAACCTCAGTTTTGCAGATGATACCACTCTAATGACAGAAAGTAAAGAGGAACTAAAGAGCCTCTTGATGAAGGTGAAAGAGGACAGTGGATAAAGTGGGCTTAAAACTCAAGATTAAAAAAAAAAACTAATATCATGGTGACCGGTCCCATCACTTCAAGCAAATAGAAGGCAAAAAGGTGGAAGCAGTGACAAATTTCCTCTTCTTGGGCTCTAAAATCACTGGGATGGTGACTGCAGTGATGAAATTAGAAGATGACAGCTTTTTGAAAGGAAATTTATGACAAACCTAGACAGTGTATTAAAAAGCAAAGACATCAGTTGACTGACAATGTCCCATATAATCAAAGCTATGGTCTTTCTGATAGTCAGGTGCGAGTGTGAGAGTTGGACCATAAAGAAGACAGAGCAACAAGGAATTGATGCTTTCAAACTGTGGTGATGGAGAAGATTCTTGAGAGTGTCTTGGACTGCAAAGAGATCAAACCAGTCAATCCTAAAAGAAATCAACTCTGAATACTCTTTGGAAGGACTGATGCTGAAGCTGAAGCTGCAATATTTTGGCCAACTGATGCGAAGAGCTGACTCATTGGAAAAGACCTTGATGCTGGGAAAGATTAAAGGCAGAAGGATAAGAGGGCAACAGAGGATGAGATGGTTGGATGGCGTCACTAATTCAATGGACACGCACTTGGGAAAACTCCAGGAGATGGTGAGGGACAGGGAGGCCTGGCGTGCTACAGCCCATGGTGTCACAAAAAGTCAGACACGACTTGGCGATGGAACAACAACAACAGCAGCAACAAGTTTTCTTAAGATGTTGAAGTGCCTTTGAAATCTTCCATTGTTATTTTGGCTAAGTGAATAACTATTGTTTAAATCAGCCAGTCAGGTCTATGGGAAATCCAAGACAGCTGCTTGGCTTTTCCTAGCCACCTGAGAAAACTCATTTTTATTTGATGGTGTAAAGCATTCCCTGATTTTGAGGTTAGTGCCCTCACAATGAAGAAAAAATTTTTTGTTTCACTAGATATTAAATTCTAGCTTTACTAATCAAGGTCTGTGTTTATCAAGGCTCACTTCCCAGTTAGTTCCTTTCTGTTGTGTTACATTGCTAAAAAGTGTAATTGAGCTTTTAAGAACACTCTAAATTTGTTCCTAAAGCTTAACACATTAATCTATCTTTGGTTAAAGATCAGATGCCCCATGACCTGTAACCAGAGGATTCTGAAAATGGCATAATTCAAAAGACTAAAATAAATAAATAAATAACAAACAAACAAACAAAAAACACAAAAGACTATCACCGACCTGGACAGATGGAGCCTTATCAAGGTCCTCTTAACTTAAGGTGCTGTTAACAAGCTCATGCACAGTATAACCAAAGGGAATTAACTCTTCAATTAATTTCCACTCACAAAGGTTCCCTGCTATGAATTGGCCTGTAGAGAGGACTGCTGATCTCAAAATCACCTTAAAACAATGCTCAGAGGAAAAACTACACTCACATGAGAAAAAAAACGATGACATCAGAAGCAGACAACTTACCCAAGATCCTCGACCTGCTTTGTATGAGTCTTCATACTGTTTTCTTGACTTCTTGGACCATTGCAAGTGAATTGAATTTTTTTTTTTTTTATCATAGGCATGACCATATGCTAGTTTTAAAAATCAATCCAATTATTGGGTTTGTATCAGTTATTTGTGTCTAGCACTTCTGGATTACTTTGGTGGGTTTCTCCTCTCCAAGGCTTTGGAGACTCTTGGGAAATCTATCTCAAATGAAAAAAAATAATTATAGTCATGTTCAGGCCACTACTGATATTATGAGATAACATCCCCTCACTTTATCAGTTAATAATGCCTGCTCTCACCTTGGCCTTAAATATAAATTTTCCTCTATTACTCAAGTTCAATCAGAGCAACAAACAAAATTTCAACCAAGGAATAACACCTCTCACAATTATGGAATGGACCTAACATTCCAGGTTCCTGTACAATATTGTTCTTTACAGCATCAAACTTTATTTCCACCACCAGACACTTCCACTCTGCCTTGTGTTTCTGCTTTGGCTCAGCCTCTTCATTCTTTCTGGAGGTATTTCTCCAATATTTTCCTGAAGCATATTGGGCACTTACCAACCCTGGGAGTTTATCTTTCAGTGTCATATCTTTTTGCCTTTTCATACTGTTCATGGGGTTCTCAGGGCATGAATGCTGAAGTGATTTTGCATTCCCTTCTCCAGTGGACCATATTTTGTCAGAACTCTCCACCATGACCCATTCATCTTGAGTGATTCTATGTGGCACGGCACATAATTTCATTAAGTTACACAAAGCTGTGAACCATGTGATCAGTTTGGTTAGTTTTCTGTGATTGTGGTTTTCATTCTCTCTGCCTTCTGATGGATGAGGATAAGAGGCTTGTGCAAGCTTCCTGACGTATGGGACTGGCTGTGGGGCAAACTGGGTCTTGCTTTGGTGGGCAATGCTCACCATGCTCAGTAAGTCTTTAATCCAATTTTCTGCTAATGAGTGGGGCTATGTTCCCTCCCTGCAGTTTGACCTGGGACGGAACTATGATTGGGATAATGGCAACCTCCTTCAAGAGGACTTATGCCAGCATGCTGTGCCTCCCAGGGCTGCTGCTGTCAGTGGCCCTAACCCCACGGCGGGTCACTGTTAACCCAGGCCTCCACTGGAGACTCCCAATAATTCACAGGGAAGTCTGGTCAGTCTCTTGTGGGTCTACTGCTCCTTTTCCCTAGGTCCTGGTGCACACAAGGTTTTGTTTCTGCCCTCTGAGAGTCTCTGTTTCCCCAGTCCTGTGGAAGGAAGTTCTATAACCAAAACCCACTGATCTTCAAAGTGAGTTTCCCTGGAGATTCTCAATCCATTTGTCAGATTCCCAGGTTGGGAAGTCTGTTGTGGGGCTTAGAGCTTTCTCAACAGTGCCAGAACTTCTTTGGTGTAATTGCTTTCCAGTTTAAAGATTGCCCACCTGGCAGCCCTATAGTGGGGTTAATGGCGACCTCCACCAAGAGGACTTCTGGCATAAACAAAATAAAGTAACTATGGAAATAACTAGGTGACACTATGGTGTGATTTCAGACAAGTCCTTGTATTGTTAAGAACGTGAGTTTTCTGAGTTGTGCCAGACTTAGAATGCCATCAGCCATTTTAAAAGCAAAATCTGCCAGCAGCAGCTGACAACAATCTTATTTTTAAGTCTTTTGTTGTAATTGTTGTATGTTTAGACAATGAAATTGCTCTGGACCACGTTTAAAAAAATAAAAATAAAAAACACATGTGTAATGACCAATAGCCACATTAAAGGTTACGATCTACTTAGATAAACCTAGACAAAAAAATGAAGATCCCCATTAAAATCCTACAGGGAAACTGAGAGTGGTAACTGAAATGTCTTCAGCTATGTACCCCGAGACTGAGAAGACTGTGTGCCAACCCAAATTCACTCATGTCTTATTTGGAACATTTTGAGTGTATTTACTCTCAGGCAGAAAAACCAGGTGTCTACTTGATCCTGATCAAACTGCACTTTCTCTTATGGACCCAGAAGATTCATCTCCGAGTAAAGAGGAACTTCTAATGGACATGTCCCATTTCAAATTTTCTTCTCACCCATAAGACACCATCGAGAGGTCTGGTTGCTGCCACCACCCAGCCTCATCATGATCACCTCCCACAGAAGGAACCCAGCTTCCCAAAGCCCGGAACCACCCTGGCTCAGGCACCGACACTGGACGTATCCTCCTGGAACCCCACCACCCCGCCACGTGTTGCCTTGTTCTGTGGGACTAGGGGATATTTCTCCACCTTCTTCATGTGACTGCAGCTCTGAGATCATCACTCCAGGTGTGGGGGTGTCCTGCTTCTCCTAGAGTCCCCACTGCTAACATGCCCTGTCACAGAGCATAGGCTCTGTGAAGTTCTGTGGAATAAATGACCAGGGAGCAGGGCCTTATTTAGTCAGATTAATTTTCTCCTAGTTTCTTAAATAATAACCTGGGAAAATCCAAATAAACTGAGATAACAGCTGTATAAAATGACAGAAAAAGGTACAATAAACAAGATTTCACTCACATTTTATTTTCTAATTCTTTCACCAAGTACATTACTGCTAAGTAAGTTCACATTTCCAAAATAGTTATAAAACCAATATCATGTTACCATGTTCAGGGACACAAAATAAAATGGGAGAGTTCCCAATCTCTTTTAAAAAAAAGCAAAACTCTTGTGCTTAAACTAGTTAAGTACAAATACATGTGTGATCAATGGCATTCACAAAGTTAGATACTGAAGTTTATTAAGCCTTAAGCTGAAATACACATTTGAAAAATTCCTAAAGAAAACAGAGATGAATCTCCATGTCATCAGAGAGAAAAGGAACACAAAGAAGCTACACACTGGGTTCCCCCAAGTGGCCCAGGCCCTCACTACTGAGAAGGCTCACCACTCCCTCTTCAATCACAGAGGGAAAGATCAGCCTGACTGCTGCTCTGGCTCAGGGCCCCCTCTTCCTCCTCCCTCATAGCCTCTGCAGAAGGGAGTGGGAAGGACCTAAAAGCCCTTCGGTTGACCCTGAGCAGATACTCCGTGAATTTTTCCTTGCTGGTCTCCAGAAAGGCCCGGGGACCCCACAGGAACTCGTAGCGAGCAGGGTCGCTGTCAGACACCTGACGGTACTTCAGGTACCCCTCTCGCACCCACACTTGGGTTAGCAGCTCCCTGGGCTCACCAAAGATGGAGTGCTCCCTCCCAACATACAGCCCCATCTTGTTGAGCGCTTCCCAGATCTCCTCCTCAGGGCTGTGATCTCTATTCTGGAGGATCAGGGTGAGGACCACCACCAGGAGGCCAGCCTTGGGCAGGCCCTGCCCACCTCTCTGCATTGCATCACAGGTGAGGCCCAGGTTGGGGACCATGATGTATATGTGCCTTCTGGGGTCTACCTCCTTCACATCCACACCAAACACCAGCAGAATGCACTCAATCGCTTGGCAGAAGACCACCGGGTAGTGGTCCGGATTATCCATGAGGAGTGTATTCAGCAATTCGGCATAGGAGGTTGGCTCCTTGGCTCGATATTTGTGGAGCAGGAACTTCACCATGTTAGTCACCATTTTATTCAGAGCTTCCTGGGGCAAGGCCTCCACAGGGGCTGATGAGGAGACTGGGGGGGAGGAGGCTGAGAGGGATGCAGCCTCCCCCTCCTCAGCCCCCAAGAGCTGTGACTCCTCCGGGCCCTGGGCCTCGCCTAGGTCCTGAAGATCTTCCTTGGGCTTGCTCAGCTCACTCATCTCGATCATGAGCACGATACCTGGGATCAAACCACAGACAGGAGTGAGGCAGGGGACATTGGGGACCATGGGCCTCAGATGAGAAATACACCCTGGGTGGTCAACACAGGCCACTTACAGGTCTCCTCTTGAGGGGTATTCTAGGGCCTCACAAAAGCCCTCGTCCTGGGCAGCCTGACCCCTGGCTGCTCTAAGAGGGAAGGGCAGCCAGTACAGCCTGTGGTTTTGGGGTTGACACAGTGGGGGGATTAGGGCTTTGTGGGGTCCCCTCTGTTCTGGGATGGGGAGCCCCTGGTGCTCATTCAGGGCACCCTCCTCACCTTGACTCCTGGTACTGTCTAGACTTCCTCTGCTCTTGAACCTCTGGACACAGGCCTAAGACCTCTGCCTTTGCCTCCTGGTTCCTGGAGCCCCTGTGAAAAAAATGGAGGGGGCACCTTGGGGGTAGATTGTGGCACAGCCCTGGGCTCTGAGGTCGCCCCAGTTGTGGGGGAAATGGTTCCCTTGTAGCTTCCTTGTAGTGCCCACCTTTCCCCGGCCATGGCCTGTACCCTGCCCTCTGGGGGCCTGCAGAGTTACTCAGAACAAGATCCGAGTCTAAAGGGAAAGCACGAAGGGGCTCCACATGAGGCCGCACCTGACCAGGGCTTCCTGTGGGTCCTAGGCTGGAGAGATGCTCGGTCCTCACCTCACGTCCAGCCTGGACTCCCAGCACTGACCACAAGGGTCGGTTCAGCTCTGCCAGGGGAGTCCACCATCTGAGGACCTGAAGACTCCACCCTCTGCCTGAACACCTCACCTCCCGAGCCCCTTAAGCCAGAAGTCGAGAAACTGCACATCCTGCTCAACCCGCTCTGGGGCCTCTAAGACCCCCATCAAAGGCAAGGATCCCTCCCTGTGTTGGGGTCTAACCGCCTCAGTCCTTCCCCGCCTGGAGTCTGGATTCCAGGCAGGACCCGGAACTGGTCCGTCCTCCATTTTGAGGCCCCGCCGCTCTCACCCGATTCCCCGTCTCTCTGAGACCTGATGTCAGGAAATGCAGCAGGAGGTCGTCCTGCCTGGGGACTACCCGGCTCCCCTCTGTTCTGGGGTCCGGCTCCCCTCACTCCTCCCTCAGGGTCCTCACCTGACTCCCGGTAGGACTGGGGCTCTGTCCTCCCCGAGTTTGAGGCCCGGCTCCTCACACTAGGTCCCCCGTCTCGCTGAGACCCGGAAGTCAGAAAGTCAGGACAGGCGCAGTGTGCTCTTCTCACCCCAGGGTCTCCCAGGGCTGATGACAGGGGCGGGGATCTGTGGGGCTCCAGCAGTCCTCCCTGGGGGGTCCCCTCAGTCCTCCCTCAGGGCCTTACCTTGTCTCCGAGTAGAGCTTCAGAGTCTCTCCTCTCCCCAGCTGAGGCCCCGCCCCTTATACCCCTCTCTGAGACCCGGATGTCAGGAAGTCAGACCATGCCTGTTCTCGTCCTACTTCACGGCCGCCAAGGACCGACAACAGAGACAGCTTTCTCTGAGGTCAAGGGCCCCCTAGTCCTCCCTCAGGGACCTCAACTTGTTACCCCACAGGACCTGGAATTCTCCTCTCTGCCCACCTGAAGCCCCGCCACCTATAGCAGGTCCCCAGTCTCTCTGAGACCCTGATGTCAGGAAATGCGGCATGTGCTCATCTCACCCTGTGTGCTCCCTGAGCCCACTCTGTGATGGGGTCCAGGTTCCCCTCAGTCCTTCCTCAGGATCCTCACCCAGACTTCTTCAGAACCTACTATCCTCCCCTTCTCCTTCTAAGGCCCGCCCCTTATATCAGGTCCCCAACCTGTCAGAGACAGGGATGCCAAAGTTAGGGACACGCTACCAAGTGCTCATGCCGCCATAAGGGATGCCTAGGGATGACAGCAGGGGTGGGATCCATGGGGTCCTTGTGTCCTCCTCAGGATCCTTATCTTGAGCTCTGCAAGGTACAGGATGTCCCTGACTTGACCCAAGGCTGGACCCTCACACCAAAACCCTCATTGCTCTTATACCACAGCTTCCAGAGCTGCTGGTCTCCTGGAGCAGTGGAATGGCTTCTACGAAGCACATGTGAGGTGCATACTGGGATATGAGAGCCCGTGGTGCTGGGGTTTCACCCTCCAGGGACTGGACAAACTCCACATCTGTCATCATTAGTTCCCCCACTAAGTAAGACACATGACCCTGGAACCAGAGGGAACAGTGACCCCACCTACCACCATTCCCAGTGACCCACAAGGGAAGTTGTGCTTCTGGGCCCCCGTGAAGCACAACTATCTAGCCATTAGCCACTTCTAGCTATTTACATTTGACTTCGCATTATATTAAGGTAGCAGGCCTGGGACACTCTAAGCACATGTGAGTTCACAATACCCAGCCTTATGTGGTGACAGGACATGCTCTTCCCAAAGGAAGATGGTTCCCCCAGGAGATATCATAACAGTCCTACTGACCTTTGAGCCATGGTTCCCACCTGGCACTTTGTGTTCCTCTCCATAGAGGTTCAGGCACCAGTTCCCCATCCACATGTCTCCTCTTCTCCTGACCTGGACCTCCCACATGATGAAGGTAAATGGAGAGAAGGATGGACCCCAGAAGGAGGGCAGAGGGCGAGGACTCATGTGGTCCTCATGTGGTTCTGGCTTGAACCTCAGCTCCAGAATCCTAGGCTGCATCCTTGCCCCTTGCTCCCAGGGCTCTCCACCCTCCTCAGTCCATCTGGCTGTACCACCCCCAAGATATCATCTGCAGTGCCAAGAATCCAAAATGATCCTTCCTCTTCTACCCTGTCTACATCACAACTGTCCTGGAGGGCTCTAGGAAGAGAGTAGTTCTCCTAAAAACACCCACCTTCTGACTGTGCCACTGGAAGGAGCCCAGGTCCTCACCTTTGGCTCTGAATGGATTGCACCTGGACAGATCTTCCATCAGTCAGTCAGGCAGGAGCCTTTTCTGCTTCTTGGGAGCTCAGCCCCATGGATGTGGCACCACCTGCATCCAAAATACCTTTCCATCCCACCCCAGACATCAACATCAATGGGATGCTTTTGCCCCAAACAACATGCTATTGTTATTTAGATGAACCGTTTTTTTTTCTTTGTTTTAAAATCGGTGAATTAATCATGTATTTATTTCCAACTTGTTGTAGGTTTACATGAGGATCCCCTGTTCCCTGCAGGCAGCTTCCAGAAAGCAGAAGGAGAAGAGATGTGAACAAGGACCTGGAGCCTCTTCCCTGCCCCGCAGTGTACTCGGTGCTCAACTGATAGGAGCCAGTATGTATAGCTTATGATAAAGACAATTCCCTTCCTGTGTTGAGTTTTGAGAAAGCCAAAGATGCCTTGAATCTTCAGCTGTTTCTAGTCACTATTCTGTATCAGCACTTTCAAATGCAAGATCTGATTTAGTTTCCAAGGCTCTTGTAAATGTCAGGGAAGGGGTTTTCCACCTCCACTCCCTCCAGTTCTCTTTCTGCCCTACCCTCTGCAGCGATGCCCGGCCACAGTCTCAGCAGAGTGAATATGTGGCCCTACCTCCTGATGACAGGGAGTGTAGCCTGGGAGACTTGGCTGCCTTCAAAGGATAGAAGTTGCCTGACCACCTGCACAGGCCCCCTTAGGCTCCCCAACAGCCATGACCTTCATGGGGGGCAGGTAACAGACAAGCGACAGTGGGAGAAAAAGGACAGTGGGAGTTTTCTTTACAAAATCCAGCAAGGATATGCACAATGCACCAGCCTTCACCTCCAAGGAGGATTCTGAGGTGTGTGAGTTCAAGTTCAGTGCAGTTTTTATGGCTTTGGGGTCTGACCACCTAGGAAAGCTGACCCAACAGTTGAAGTGTCCAACTGCCAGTTTCAAAGAAGAACCCCATTAATATCTTACAAGAAGACTGATTGTGGTAATCAAAATGTCTTCAACTATACGCCCCGAGATTGAATAGACTGTGCACCAAACAAAATCCGCTCATTTCCCATTTGGAAACTTTCAAGTGTATTTAGACTCAGGCAGAAAAACCAGGTGTCTACCTGTTCTGACCAAAGTGCATTTTCTTTTTCAGACCCAGGAGGTTTATTGGAGAGAAGATGAACTTCTAGTGTGCATGTCCAATTCCAGACTTTCCTCTCACTCATAAGACCCCATCTACAGTCTGGCTGCTGCTACCACTCAGGTTCATTACCATCATCTCCCACAGAAGGAACCCAGCTTCCCAAGGCCCCAAACCACCCTGGCTCAGGCACCAACACTAGAGTGCTCCTCCTTGAGCCCCACTTCCCTGCCCCATATTGCCTTGTTCTGTGGAACTAGGGGATGTCTCTCCACCTTCCTCGTGTGACTGTGGCTCCTAGACCATCGCTCTGGGTGTGAGGGTGTCCTGCTTCTCCTAGTGTCCCCACTGCTAACGCAGGGCCTTCCACAGAGCAGAGACTCCATGAAGTTCTGTGGAATAAATGAGCCAGTGAGAAGAGGGCTTATTAATCTTTCTATTTTCTCCTGCTCTCTTAATAACCTGGCAAAATCTGAGTAAACAGATACGGATTAGCTGTAGAGAAGGACAGACAAAACCTATAAGAATCAAGAATTCACTACAATCATTTTTTTTTTTATTTTCCAATTCTTCCACCAACTATTTACTGCTAGTAAGTTCACATAACCAAAATAGTTGTTAATTCCAATTCCATGTTATCTTGCTCAGGGTCATAAAATAAAATGGGAGAGTTCCCAATCTCTTTTACAAAACAGCAAAACTCTGGTCCTTAAACTGGTTAAGTACAAATACATGTGTGATCAATGTCATTCACAAAGGTAGATACTGAAGTTTATTAAGCCTTAAGCTGAAAAAACACATTTGAAAAACTCATAAAAAAAGAGATGAATTTCCACGTCATCGCAGAGAAAAAGAACACAAAGATGTTATACACTGGGTTCCCCCAAGTGGCCCAGGCCATCACTACTGAGAAGGCTGACTGCTCTCTCTTCAATCACAGAGGGAAGGATCAGTTTGGCGGCTTCTCTGGGTCAGGACTCCTCTTCTCCTCCCTCACAGCCTTTGCAGATGGGGGTGGGATGGCCCTGGAAAACCTTTGGCTGACTCTGAGCAGATACTCTGACTTCCTACTTGTTGGTCTCTGCATAGGCCCAGGGACCCCACAGGAACTCATATCGATGGGGGTCGTTGTCAGGCATCTGCCGGTACTCCAGGTACCCCTCCTGCACCCACACATGGGTCAGCAGTGTCCTATGCTCCCCAAAGACGCAGTGCTCACTCCTGACACACACCCAATCTGCTGAGTGTTCCCCAGACCTCCTCCACAGGGGTGTGGTCTCCATTCCACATGATCAGGCTGAGGACGAGCACCAGGAGACTGGCCTTAGGCAAGCCCTGCCCACTGCTCAGCATTGCATCGCAGGTGAATCCCAGGGTGGGGACCATGATGTGGATGTGCTCCATGGGGTGCACCTCCTTCACCTCAACGCCACAGACCAGCTGCAGGCACTCCGAGGCTTGGCTGAAGACCATCGAGAAGTGCTCCTGGTTATCCCTGAGGACCTTCTTCAGCATTTCTGCCTCAGAGGTCAGCTCCTTGGCCTGATACTTGAAGAGCAGGAACTTCATCAGGTTAACCGGCATCTCATTCAGAGCTTCCTGGGACAAGGCCTCTGCAAGGGTGGAGCAGGAGACTGGCGGGGAGGAGGCCGAGGCGGATGCAGCCTCCCCTGCCTCAGTCCCCAAGAGTTGCTCCTCCTTCAGGTCGTGGGCCTCGCCTGGCTCCTGAAGGTCTTCCTCAGGCTTGCTCAGCTCACTCATATCGATCCCGAGTGCAATGCCTGGGACTGAAGCACAGACAGGAATAAGGCAGGAGGACAGATGGGGACCATGGGTCTGGGGGAGAGAGAGGATGAGAGGGGCCTCTGCTGAGAACCACATCCTGGGTGGTCTGACACAGGCCATGTAGAGGTCTCCTCTTGATGGGTGCTCTCAGACCTCACAGGGTCATGCCTCTGGGGTGGCCAGTCCCCTGGCTACCTGAAGGAGGAAGTGAGGTGGCTCCCCAGGGTGCAGTCAGCACAGCCCAAGATTTCCAGGGCTGACAAGGTGTGGGGATTAGACCCTTGTGGAGTCCCCTCTGTTCTGGGATGGGGAGCCCCTGGTGCACACTCAGGGAACCCTCCTCACCTTGACTCCTGGCACTGCCTGGACCTCCTCTGTTCTCTGTCCTCTGCAGTCCTTAGACCTCTGCCTTCACCTCCTGGTTCCTGGATCCCCTGTGAGAGACATGGAGGGT